TTTGATATATTTGGAGAGGTTGATTAGCAAATTTGTGATATGCTTATAATCTGCAGGAGATGTTTACGTATGAATTAGCTTACTATTATGTTTAAAGTTGATATATAGTTAACTAGTCGACATGGATGAGTTGTCATAGGTGTAAATATAGTGTCTATGTATTTGTATAAATAAAATACATACATAGGAAGTATGGATATATACTTATGCAGGCATGGTTGAATTGCCAATGTATAAATAAATATACTTATGGATGCCAAAGTATAAATATATATACCTGAGGAGGCATGGTTGAGTTGCCAATATATAAATAAATATATTCATAATGACATGGTTGAATTGTTAAAGTATAATTAAATTGCTATGTGTATTAGATGATTAAAATTCATCAATGGATACTGTATGTATAAGTTGGATGAGGATTAGATATTCTTAAATTAGAATAATTTAGTAGTGATATGTTAGTGTATTATTTTATATATGTTAATAAAATAATATTGGTAGAGACATGAATGATTTATCAAAGATTAGGTATTGGCTATATGGTTTAAATAATTAAATTCATTATTGGCTCTTGGATTGAATATAATTTTTCTTGAATTATATTTCAGTATTTAAATAATTAAATAATTATTTAAAATGGAGTTAAGGTTGAAGGGGTTTCTCTTTAAAAGAGAATGAGTTTTGAATTGGTTTAAGTATGATTATGTTTTAATCATGGTTTAATGGTTTTGAATTGGTTTAAGTATGATTATGTTTTAATCATGGTTTAATAGTTTTGAAAATTAATGAAACTATTAAGGGATATGAAGGTTATACTGTATATAACTATTTATACACATGTGTATCATTGTTTATTAAACTTAAAACTTTATTAGTTATATAAATAAATAGTTAATAAAATTAATAAACTTAAAATTTAAGTTTAAGTTTATTAAATTTAAATATGTGTATCATTTAAGTTTAACTTTATTAAACTTAAAATTAATAAAGTTTTAAGTTTAATAAACAATGATACACATATGTATAAATAGTTATATACAGTATAACATTCACATCCCTTAATAGTTTCATTAATTTTCAAAACCATTAAACCATGATTAAAACATAATCATATTTAAACCAATTCAAAACTCATTCTCTTTTAAAGAAAAACCCCTTCAACCTTAACTCTATTTTGAATAATTTTTTAATCATTTAAATGCTAAAATATAATTCAAGAAAAATTATATTCAATCCAAAAGTCAATAATGAATTTAATTATTTAAACCATATAGTTAATACCTAGACTTTAACAAATCATTCATGTCTTTACCAATATTATTTTATTAATATATATAAAATAATACACTAACATGTCATTATTCTAATTTAAGAATATCTAATCCTAATCCAACTTATACATACAGTATCTATTGATGAATTTTAATCATCTAATACACATAGCAATTTAATTATACTTTAACAATTCAACCATGCCATTATGAATATATTTATTTATATATTGGCAACTCAACCATTCCTCCTCAAGTATATATATTTATACTTTGACAATTCAACCATGCCTTCATAAGTATATTTATTTATACATTGGCAATTCAACCATGCCTCCAGAAGTATATACTTTTAAACTAACAACTCATCCATACTTCCTATGTATGTATTTTATTTATACAAATACTTAGGCACTATATTTACACCTATGACAACTCATCCATGCCTACTACTTAATTATGTATCAACTTTAAACATAATAGTAAGTTAATTCATACGTAAACATCTCCTGCAGATTATAAGCATATCACAAATTTGCTAACCAACCTCTCCAGATATATCAAATAAGAATAATATTAATAATCATCTTAATTGATATATATATACATACACATATATTTTATAATATATAAATATGTATAATATCATCCATAATAATTTTTGATTATTTAAATCATATCAATATATATATATATGTGTGTGTGTGTGTACACACACACACACACACACATATATATATATATATTCACACACTTCATTCCATAACAATATATTAATTTAATTATATTTACGCAATTTAAATGCTGCTAAATATCGTCAGAAATAGTTTCCCATAAAAACTCCATCTCGGTAAATAATTTTTCGATATTGTCTCCCTAAAACGTAAAATACTTCATAGTATGATGGGAATCTGATAATGAAATTGGTACCATTGGAAAGAGAACGAAAAATTCTTAAATTTGAGCTCAAGAATAACCCAATTTCGATTTAAGATGACTAAGTTATGACCGTTTTAATTTTATGTCACAAATAGGCAAAATAATTGGCCGAGCTCAAACACAACTGTGAGCGCGCCCACACTGGATTAGCTCACTTGAGCTCACACAAATGCACCCACACCAGATTTGCTCACTTGAACTCATATGTATGCACCCACACCAGATCAATCTTTTGTTGACCAAAGCTAATCCATGGTTCAGATTCACATGCGCACCTAGTTTCCATGATCTCTAGCACACTGGATCAACTCACTTATACTAAAATAAACCAAGGGCTCAGATCAGCGTATGTACCTTATTCCTATGCACATGCAAATACAGAATCCTACTATGATAAATCAGGACCAATCTATGGTCCAGATGTGGGCGCACTGAAAGCTTGTATGCCGCGCCACACCAGATCACATCCCTTAATGAAGGCGCCACCGCTTTCTACAGAAGCTCTACAGAAGTGGTATATATATATATATATATATATATATATATATATAGTTACCAAATAAAATACAAAATTAAACATAATAAATTCCTAAAAATTATAGAAAAATACCAGAAAATTTTAGAAAATTACAGAAAATTTTCAGAAATTCTATAAACCCTAAATAACCTTCTTGGGTCACAGATCAAACATAACAGTTGTTTTTAATATATACAACCTATATATATAATTAAAATCCAACAATGCTAAAAAAATAAAATAATAATAAATCATACTTTTAGTACTACAATTTAACCTTAATTTAATCAAATAAAATTAACTTAATACTTTTGATTAAATCCGTTCTAATCATAATTTTAATTAATAATTTAATTAAAGCCTTGATATTCAAGATGAAAAACTTATGGGTCCTAAGAGGAGAGTTAGAAAAGAACTTGCCTGAAGGTTTCGAAACGAAACCGACGCTTCAAATTTTAATTGTTTCTTCCAATTCCAGCGTCTTCTTTCTTTAATTCGGCTTTCTCTTTGTCAACCTCATCCTCTTCTCTCTCCACTTCTCTTATTTTTCTAACGTGTCAACCTTTAACCCTAAAGTCTTATGTGTATATTTAATTAGAGATGATTTACTTATTGGTTTTCAGAGGTTTGGTAAAGAGAACTTGCTCGTAGGGTTTAACCTATGATTTATTTTTCAAGTTATTAGAGGTTCCAGTCTCGAGATTGAGGATCCGCAGCTGGGAGACTGTCATTTATCTATTCATCCTGTGTATTTTTTTAAGTAGTATTGAATTATTGGATAATGTTTTAAGGGATCCCTGAGTTATGTGATTCTCGAGTTGTAATTGTTGAAGAATCATTAATTAATTTTTATTTATTAGTTTTATTATTTATTCTTTTTATTTCATTTTGTACTCTGTACTTATTTGAAATACTTTAATTGTTTTGATATTCCCCTGATTTTGTGCGCGAATTTGATCAACTCGTGTTCCGAAATTAGGGGGTATCACAGTAAATGAGATAAAAATTGAATTTTTAATTGAAATTTATAATAGGAAAATTATTGATAAGTGGGCTATTTTTTATTAAAATTTACTAATATTTTATTTATATACTAGAAAATTATTTATCTAATATTTATAAAATTAGAAAAGATGTGGAGACTAAATAGACTAAATTATTTATATTTTTTATATATTTCCTTGTCTAATTAGAAAGAGTAAATTATTTATTTTCTTTATATATTTTCTTATCTAATTAAATTTTCTTTTATTAAAAAAACAAATAATAAACAGATAATTTAAGTTTTATAGAAACCCTTCTAAACACCTTAAATTAATTTTAAAATTAAACCATACTTTTGAAAGATATATACTCATTCTTATTATAGTCCTTCTCTACAAATATATACTAATACTTTTAAATATCACATGCTAAATGACAGTTTGTATGACTACTTGTATAAGTTGCTAAAGTAATAATTTTATTTTCTTAAAACTTATAAAATATTTATTTTAGTTAAAGTTATTTTGTTTCTTAACCTTTTATCAGGGTAATAATGATATATATTTTTCAGTGCAAAATCAAAGCACTCAAAACATTATTTCAAAAATTGAAACAATTTTTTTTAAAAAATAAAGTGATTTAGGTTGCATTTTTTTTTTCTTCCAATTTTTGGATTTCTTAAGATATATGTACTATAACTATTTTATAAATAAAATAAAATTGCAATTGATTTTAAAAAATTCAAATTATAATTACATAGTACTGGTTTGCCCCCAATGTAAAATTGCTCCCATATAAACAGTCCAATCCTATGCATTTCAAATAATTAAGCAGAGTTGTTGATATGACAAAATTTACATCATGAGGTAATCAATTACTCTCACCTTAACATTACCTATGAACTAGGAGTAATATATATATATATATATATATATTGACCCTTCATATCAGAATTTTATTGGAGAAGGTGGTAATCTTCTTCATTCATGGAGTCTGGGTTGATGGATGGGCCACAGAACATGCCACCCCATTGAGGAAAGTAGATCAGTGTGGCTGAGAGGGTACAGACAATCATCGTTAGGCCCATGAGAGAAATGCCTGTTTGGGTTGAGAAATTATTCGACCCGGAAAAGAACAACTCTTGTGACACCACTGCCCCTATTGTCCCACCACTCCCTGCCATCCCTGAAATTACTCCCAAGGACCTGCATACCATCCACATATTGTAATTATACTAGTTAAAAAAAAATGTAATACTTATAATAATTAATACATAAATAAAAATAAAAGATTGAGTGGATTAAATATAAAAATTTATTTTTTTACAAATGATTTTTGAATTGTATAATTGTGTTCGGCTACATAGAATTTATGTATATTTTAATTTAATTCTTTGAATTATTATTTTTTAATTCCACTAATTACAGTTTTAGAATTTATGTATATTTTAATTCAATTCTTTGAATTATTATTTTTTAATTCCACTAATTACAGTTTTAAAATTAGCATACTATCTTGATTGCTTACACGTGTGGAACATCCACACGTGTGAGCATCGCTGTCGGTTGATGCAGTAGAGCAGTGTGTTACCTTACTGAATCAGATCAATTGTGGAGCCCACTGTCCCTGTCACCACAAGGATTGGTCCTTTTCAGACAATGTGTCTTCCTTCTGAAGACAACAGTACAATGTTCTTGATAAACGTGGGTGAATCCAAGTGTTACGAAATGAAATGAAATGAAATTGATTTATCTGATTAATTATTATCCTCTTAAGTTATTCAACTCACAATGATTAATTTGAATCGCCAATCGATAGCTAAAAGACACGGGTTTATGGTCTGTTCGGCAAGGGCAGCAAAAACAAAATATCCCATGCCTCCCAATTTTCACTTTTCGTCGAGTTACTTTAAAAAAAGGTTGTGTTGAGCACCTCATTGGTTTGAAATTAAAAGGCTACCAAACGTACCTTTTGGAAACGAATGGAACCACGCCAAACGCAAGGCCAGCAGCGGCTTGAACGAACACAGAGAACCCACACATCACACCTATGGAACCCCACAGCGAGTTGACTCGCCCGAGTAACACACACAACAAACCCGCCACGGTCTGCACCACCCACAAGCCCCACAGCCTCCCCCTCATCCCAAACCTCCTCCCCATCTCGTCGGAAACCACCCCTCCCGCCGGCCTCGACACGATATTCGCCAACCCGAAGCTCGCCGCAATCGCCCCCGCCGTCTGAATCTTCACGTGAAACCTATCGTAAAAGTACTGCGCTACGATATTATCAGTTGTTAGCTCAACTCCAAAGCTATAACCATACAACAAACCCAATATCCACCCTCTGTAATTCTTAAGCCCATTAATCAGAACTCCGAGAGCGTTGTCTCTTGAGTTATTTCCGAGTTTTCGTGACCGTTTATAGTTCCCGTCCGGCAAGTCTTGGCCGAGGAACAACACCATGACTGCTGTTACAGCTTGGAATATCGCCGGGACGATGAAGGCGAGACGCCATGCAGTGGAAGATGGTACGTTGAAGGTGGTGGCGATGAGAGAGAAAATGAGTGGCATTACGAGCTGGGTGACTCCGGCGCCAACGTTGGCCCACCCTGCTGCCACGCCGTTGGCGCGGCCCACGATGTTGCCGGAGAACATGGAGCTCATCCAGAACTGGTTGGCGACGAAGTTGGCCAGCGAGAGGCCGACGAGGAAGCGAACGATGATGAAGGAGAGGGGTGATGAGATGAGGGACGTTGAGAGGATTATTGGGGCGGTGAGGAGAGAGAGAGAGGCGGAGGCGATGCGGGGTCCGACGAGGTCACATGCAGGGCCCATGGCTAGGCGGGAGAAGATGGAGCCAACGAAGGAGGCAATGCCGGCGTGGCCAATGTCGGTGGCGGTGAGGTGGAGGTCCTCGCGGATGACGGCGAGGAGTGGTGGGATAGAGAAGGTGGAGAAGTAGCAGGAGAAGAGAGAGAGCCATGCGAGGTGGAAGGCTCGCATGTGCGGCGACGACAGGGAGAATGGCCGGAATACGGTGGCCTTGTGATCGGAATCCACCGGGAGAGAGAAGGCGAATTGGGTCTTCGAGGATGCTTCCATGTTTTAATTACAGCGGAGAATATAATTGAATTGAATTCATTGAATGCGTATTTTTGAATTGAATTTATGTAATGCGTATTGATGCAACGGTGTTCAAATTAGTAAGAACACATGGATGTTTATAGTGGAGGTGACAGCTATGACATGCTGGGTAACACCGTGCCACACACACTTACTATACAAGATATTTTTTTTGGAAATAAAACTGTTTATTAAAATAAATAAATAAAACAAAACCATGAGTTGATATATATTGATAAGACATAAAGCAATGTCATTATCTACATGGGACAAACACAAACATGTTATTTTCTTTCCATGAATAGGTTGTTTGTATATCCTTCAAAAACATCATGACGCAATAGGTGACTCAGGTGGGTCGATTATTCAATGTTGACGGATTCCAACATGGCATGCCCAACATACCCCCAATTACTAATTTTTATCCCAATTTAAATCAGGTAATTATTCACAATGAATAGCCCTCTTAAACTCTCACACTTTACATGTGTTCTTACTTTCATATTATGAGAGCTGACTTAATGAGTTAGAACTCAAACCCTAATACCTATCAAGTCTTAGATTTGAGCCTTTGGGTACGTAAACAATGACTTAATGAGTTAGAACTCAAACCGAAATACCTGTTAAGTCTTAGATTTGAGCCTTTAGGTACGTAAACAATTTTTATGAAAGTACACAAATATGACTTAATGGGTGAGAACTCAGACCCTAATGTCTCACCCTAAAGTGTGATATATCCTTTGAAAGAAACCGAAAAAAAAAAAAAATGTACACCACATGTACCTATAATGCTTGTCCATCCCGTAGGTAAAATCAAAAGATCATGATTGAGATGGAGATATACGATGTGTGGAGATGATACTCTGATTATGGATGTTTATGCTTGCGTCCAAAATATGATTTATCTCATTAGAAATGGTCCTCACAAAAAACATGGGTTTTTTTTTTTTTGTCTTGAAGATCATAATGGTTACACAAGACGACAAAATCATTTGTTTTCTAGCCATAACTTTTCTCATAATTCTCTTATTGTCATGTGGGAATGGTTTCTCGCTAGGTTTGCCCATAAGTTTGCTGGTGGAGGTCTCTTATGGGCCCAAATGGTAGCTGGTGAACAGTACAGGGTTTTTTTGGTCAAGAGACATATGGTTTCTAAGTCGGTTGAGATATTTTTTGCTTCTATTTTGGAACTTTATGCATGAATGACTCTTTGCGCTTTAATAATTTAGGGTTGGGTCCAATCTTTTCAAATGATTTTGATAGTTTATTGTTCAAGCATTTCAAAATTTGGTCACTCGAGAATATGCCGAGTTTTGTTTCAGTTTGAAGAAAACTCGTCACACCACGTCATACTCCCATACAAAACTATTAGTAAATTAGAGTCTCTGAAGAAATTTTGACATGATCTGAAATTAATGAGTTACAAAACTAAGTTTGAAGACAAATCGTGAAGAAAATTTGACATGATCTGAAATTAATGAGTCATACAAAACTAAATTTGAAGACAACTCGTCACTCGACATCATACAAAACTACTAGTAAATCAGAGTCCGACATCAATCACAACCGACAAAATTATAACTTTATTTAAAAATTTTACTCGAATGTGTCGGATTGTGACGGATTGTGATTGACAAGAATTTTTCCCTCGTCCCACCTCTTCGTTTACGAAAAATTTAGAACATATTTTAGAACGTAAAGCAGACCACGTGAAATGAAATAATCAAAAACGATTTCAAAAACCGTAACATGCACTAAAATTTCACCAGCAACACCCGGATATTGGCAGCCAAATATCATCTCATTGACACCCAAAGACTTTCCCAGAAACCAAGTAAGACGGTGCAATGATTCAAATTGGTATCAGAGTCCCAATGAATGTAATGTAATACAATCTTTATTGGATGCTAATTGTAGGTTTTTCATGTACAAGTCCTAATACTTGCTTGTGGTTCGAGTGTTAGCCAAATAATGGAATGTAAAAATGGTTCTATTTTCGGTTTTCCATGCATAAGAATCTTAAACCCTATATAGTTAGGTTAAGAGGGAGAAAATTGGAGAAACTAGCCCGTTATAAAAGTGGAAGTGTGTCCCAAAAATGAATGTAATTTACAGTTCCTATCATTTTTCTCCATCTTCATTGTGTCAATCGATTCTAATTCAGCCAACATTCTCGAATACTCGAGCTTTTTATCTGCAAGTTCACTTCTAAGTTGTTCCACCTGCAACAAAGTCGAAGAGTAATTTTTTAGGAATATAGTTTTCCTCCCTAAGCAGGTCAGAGTTGAATATGTTTCTGTTTTCACAATTTGGTTGACAAAAGACCCAGGCATTTTATAGATGCAATAACATAGAGAAGGGTAGTGCCTAAGGACACACATAAAAGACCTGTTTCCCTAAGTTTCTAAAAACAGAAATTTTGTCAACATATCTTTTAGCTTTGGATAAAACCGAGTAATGGACGTACATCTTCTCATGCAATCAGAACTTTGTACAGGCCGGATGATTTCAAAACGGAGTATAGTTGAAGAATTTGTGTAGACCATAAAAAACTCCAGAACATCACAGTGTCATGCAAATTTCTTACATTTGCAAGTTGTTATAATTTATGCCATATAAAATTAATGATGTACCTTTAGCTTAAGTTCTTTCTCCCTTTGCTCCGATCCCATTAACCTGGAAAAGATAAAAATGAGAAATCCACAGAACAATGGATGCTTAAGAAATGGTTTTGTTCACAAAATCCTTAAATGAGTAAGAGTTCAATCGAGTGAGGTGTGGGGCAACTTAATGAGACTGTGAATTTTATATAAATGTAGCTAAGCATTTCTAGAAGTGAACTACAAGCAATAACTGAAATATACTTTCAGGTGATGTAGCAGTGCAAGTCGGGGCAAGCTTGGCCAGTGAAGGTCAAACTGTGCAAACTGGATAGAGAGACTGGTGGGAACTGAATGCGAATTACAAATCATAGATCATACTAATCTAATTAAAAGTTCACCCTCCCAACTCAAGTATTAATTTGAAGTTGCAGGAGTATTTTGTCAAAGCAAGGACTTGGACCTAGGAATTATCTGGCTAAAACATGAACAAACGTCTAAGCACATGCGAACACATTAGACTAGGAGCCTTGGCTTAGGCTAGCCAAAAGTCAAACAAGTCCAAATTAGGCAAAGGTAGGAAAGTTCAAAACTTCAAATGTCGTTTGGATCCCTCATTGGCAGGTCAGTTTCAGGTTGATTTCCCGGAACGTATTGGCCCCAAGTTGAGGTTTGCCAAACTGTTTATAAAGAGTGCATTCACGGTCAGGGTGCTTCGCTTGGGACCTAGATCCTCAATTATTGTATCCCTTTATCTTGACTTTTTGCCACATGGCATTGTCATTCAACTAAGTGGATTCTGTAATATAATGAGGCCGCCTATTCTCGTATTGACTTGGCAATAGCAGAGGGTATGCTGAGTTAAACAAGAACAAAGTGATGAGAGTAGCCAAACCAGATCCAGTGCAAACTTCATAACCAAATAAAGTAAATCTGCGCTGTACTTACCGTAAATGGAGTTTCTCATTTGCTTGCATTAGGATAGTTTCTTTATCATTCAACTGAAGCTCATTACTACTGGCAAGCTACAAGACAAACACAACAATAATTAGTGACAATGACTCCTCTTTCAACATGTATACTGACTACTGAAGAGAGAAGGTAGAGTTGATGAAAAGAGAATTTTCCAAGCAGATGTCTTAGTTAAAATAAATTACTCCCCACCTTGCAGAAGTACATATTAATGCAAGAAAAAGGAATAGACATGTTTGAGAAACAAGGTCCTAATATATCTTGTACACCATCAAATATTCCAAGGGACATCCCAAGAGGCACAGAGGAGGAGGTTAACTAGTTACAAATGAAAGCCGCACATAAAAAGAATAAAACAGCCAAAAGTTTATAACTGATATATCAGATGGTTCTCATAAACATTTTGAACCAACAATTGAACAAAACCAACTCTCCAATAACCATATGATAAAAGTATTTGATATAGCTGTTTGAACATGCATTTTCTAGTGGTAATCGCAGCAAACAAATAAATAATTCAGTGAGATGTAATTAAAAAGACTAGAAGTGTAAGCAGATCAAAACATTTCCATTTGTATGGATCAATACATATAAATTTCTTTAGTCAAACATTAGATGGCATTCCCATGGTTGATTAAAATTTTGATAAGCATATTTTAACAAACCTTTTCGACTCCAATGTGCAGGGTATCAGCTGCATAGGACCCTGATCCTGATGGCCTTTTTGCATGTTCAAGTTCCATTGCAGAAGCTTGTTCCTTCCTCTTCATATTTAGTCCTGCTCGTAAATTGCAAGTCTATATAATATGGATCAATAAGGAATTTTCCAAGTTTCAGCCCACAGTCCACACTCACCGATAATTGGTTCCAGCAACAGAAACTTCAAGCAATTCTAATCAGAGAAGCCAACCAAGAAAGCATTGTTGATTCAAAGCTTACCATGCTGGGAAGGCACCGACACTGGAGAAGATTTCTTCTTACGCTGATAACCGATAAATTCACAATAGCATTCCCTACCAAGATTAAGCAGAGAAACTAACACACTAATTAATAATATGCAACTACAAGAATCAAGTACAGAAAAATTCATACTCATCAAGATGAAAAAGGAAAAACAGAAAGCTTATGAATCTTATGAATGAATTCAACAAGAGCTAGCTAACATAATATAAAGATCATAAAATACATGAATTTAAGTGAAGTTCTCTTCAGAGCTCACAAGCAGCCCAAGGGTTGAAAATTAGTAACAACAAAATATTTCTACAAAAGTAACAGTTGGCATTTTAATCTTAAAATTACAAATTTACAAAATAATGTCTAATCTCACCCTCCCTTCAGGATTTGAGAGGTCAAAAAAAAAAAAATTGTCTCCATAGTTTCAGCAGTAGTATTAGATTGATTATGATACGTATTAAATGCCTAAGGGCAGTATCTTCAATGTCAACACATAATATCCAAGCCTGAAAGGAACTCAACACCTGTTTCTTAAATTTATAAATAATTGTTAGATTTTGTACGAGTTTGAATAAGATCATTTGTTCAACTTTTTCCTTGAAATTGAAGAAATTCCGATCCAATTTGACTTCCTACGGTACTCATTAATATCCACAAGAGCTAAGTGAGTAACGTGTAGCTTACCAGTATTCCATTGTCATTTCCCTTAAACGAGTTTCAAGCTTTTGAAAAAGGGGTGTCTTCTCAAAATCTTGCTTACTGTGAATAGGCTCAATAAAATTTGCTTCCAGAACACCTACCAAAATACAATTACACCATTCACTTACTATTCACTACAATCCAGATATATTGCAACTTCAAAACAGAATTTTGAAGTAATAAGAGATAGTGAAGGGAGGATTAATCATACTCACCAACAACTCCTCTTCCATGACGGTTGGTTTTATTGACCACATGCCAAAAGGGCTGCCCAAGAACATAAAAATGAAAGTTAAGCACAACAATGCAAGAAGTTCAGAACAACCCCAAAAAGAACATATTAGAGTATTCGCAGAAGAATATGCTGTTATATAAGTCAAAGAATGTATACAATGAGAATATGAAACCTATTAGAGCATTATGTTCAATTTACTCGTGAAACATCCTGCTTGATACATAAAAGAAGAATTTCAATGAACGACAATCATGTAACATATAAATCTGATAGGACATCTTCTGCAGGGAGATTCTGTATCTAATTAAAAGAATTAACTAGTTCAACCATTTTGTGCTTTCTTAGCTTTAATTTCAACTTCTGAACTTGTATAGTAAATAGAAGTTATTATAATGCAATGACAATGTCAAATACTAAAAAATATTTTTAAGTTAAAAGACAATAAGTCTCACCAATATTAGACGGTTCTTATGGTAGATATTGAACCCATGGATATCAACATGTGGAGCATCCTTTAAAAATCCTATAGTGGTGACAACTGCTGCCTGAAAAATGAAATCAAGAGGCATGGTGAAGGCTACTAACATATACGAAAAGAGAGAAGGGAAGCATATTACATAGATCAATTCTCTCCAAAATTCGATCTCTAGAGTCAACAAGAAAACACTACAGAATAATTATTAATCTATTTACTCATATATACCTATGTCAGATTCCTGCCAAGTATCATTGAGAATGGTTACTTTCCCATTTTTTCAAAAACTGCAAGTGACAACTAGGATGGGCCATAAATATGCAATCTTATACGAACCTCCATACTCCCACCAACTCGAGGCTTATATAATATGAAATCAAAAAACTTGAGATCATTGGCAATATTATGATGCTCGACAACTCGTCCACGCAAAATTATTTTGAAGCTTTCAGGTAGCCGTAGATACAGAATGGATATATATACCTGTGGACCATGAAAAATAACTTTACCTAACTCTGTGCAAGGAGAGATCTTTTGGCATATAAACTTTGTATGGTAAATTATAAACATACGCGGAGAGAATAGCGGTAAAGATTAGCTATGTGATGGTCAAAAACTGGTTTTGGATGGTGACCTTTCTGAATTACTTTTGGGCCTACACTGATATGAATATCCTGCAAGAGTATGATTAGAAATAGCCGATCCAATAAGCATGACTTAAAAAGATATTTCAGAAGGAAATGAAAGCAAAAAGATGGAAAGATACCTCGGCATCAACATTAAAATCCAGTTCTAAATCCCCATCATCATTTAACCAAAGATTGTAAATAACAATTTTTGTTCCATGCTGCCCTATATCATCAAACTGTCCACTGAAATTAATAAGAATGAAAAAACGCACAATAGGTTGTGTATCACCCTACAACACCATATAATTAGAATATTTCTCATAGAAATCATAGCTAATAACATAACCGGTCTTCCATTTAACAGTAATAAATTAGTCTATGTACATACTAGAATTAACACAAATCACCAGTCATTCCAATATACCTTGGTCAAATAACAATTTTATATGATTTTTAAGGAGCATTGGACATCCCATACAAAGTTAACAAGTGCCTTTTGTTTTACATAAGAATATGAAATAAGTAAATGGTGTGTGCTTGTGTGCGCACGCGTGCCCGTATATGTCATATTTGACGTTTTCTTTTTAGGGAGAAAATGAGTCTGCTTCTTTTTACAGCAAACGAGTCTACTTGTGACTGCTAACACTTTCATTTTACTTTTCTCTAGGTAGGCAAAATGGGGGCCGTGATTAGTAGGATCCTTAGAGAAGTGAGTACTGAGAGGAGAGAGAGAGATGTCTATGAAGTGTGGATGTGAGAGTGATAATAGGTAGTGCAATGCAGTGCAGAGGACCTTTTAGTAGTGTGGTGAACTGGAATGCAATTATGGAAGGCTTTGATAAATTTATTTAAAGGTAAATAAATAAGTATGAGCGCCTACAAAGGGTCTCTCTTCAGAATGGCGTGCAATTTGGTGATGCCCCCTCGCATGAATCAAGCCAAAAATTTACAATATTTTGGGAAAAGGAGGAAATACATCACAGAAAGTTATGTCAAGTTTCATGCAAAGAGATGTCTTTATATAGAAGATTGGTAAAGTGGTGGATGATGGTGTTGGGACCCTAGAGTTGGTTTTTCCATTTTGAGAAGATTTACCCACTTTTAAATTCCAAGAAATATGGAGGATGCAATGCTGGAAAAGAAATGACTTCACCTTTTTCAGCATTTTTTTCTTCTTTGATGGGGTTGGGGGGTTGATTCATTTCTACTACAGAAATTTTTTTAATTGGTAAGTATAATTTTTTTTAATTAATTAATAAATTTTGTGCCGCAAACTGCTGTTAATTTGGTCAGGATGGCAACAACAACAATGATGTTAATCCTATAAGGTGGTTAAAATAGTGGCGATGAGAATTGATAAGGTGAAAGTGGTGGCTGTATTGATGGCATGTCAGTAATTATTGTTGGTGGAGACAGTGATGCCAATGATGTAGCACTGAGGGTGGTGGTGTTCATACAATGCCAATGGTGGTGAGGCACTTACAGTCGAAGTAGCAATGCTGACAGTGGCATGGTGGGGGAGACAATGGTAGTGATAATGGAGGTGCAACAATGGAAGTTGGAAGTGGCGACAAGCGCATATACGCTTCCACTATCCAATCCTTCACAGCTAATAGTTTATGAAATGACACAGTCCACAGGTGCAATTTGAAATAAAATTTAAGCCCTCCAATTCCTTCATTCAAATCTCCAGAAAGGATTTAGAAATTCAATTATTGTAGGCTGTAGCATTTTTTCCCCCTCTTGAGCAACTTTTGATTGGCTTTTAGAATAATCTTTCCCGCAAGCGGATCTCTTTTGAGTTGCCAAACTGTTGGATCTTTTAATTTGGAGAGTGACTCCTTATCTTCTTTGAGGCTTTTGCAAAGATGTGATAGGAGAACTCTGAGAAATCCGAATTCATAACTTTAGAATTGAATAATTTACTATTTATGTCATTGTTTAGGATGCACATTTCTTTTGCAGCATGCTTAAGTTATTTTCCCAACATTTCTTGAGAAATATATGCCTCTTTATTCTAATATTTTATACTTGAGTGGACTAAATAGTAAGGCGTCCTTTCCTTACCAAGAGAACAGGAGAGGCTTACCAGAAGAGAGAAGGCAAGCCGGACCAAGGAAAGAAAAAGGTAACTTCCGGATAGGGGGAAATAATCTCTCTAGCGTTTTATACCGTATTTGCACATAGGTCCACCCATTTGATTTTGTGGTATAATATAATGCTATTCAATTATGAGAAAGATCTAAACTGTTGCTTAATATAAGGGCAATTTATGGATTTCAATAAATGAAGTGTTTTCTTTTTTACTTTTCTTCATAAATAAATCACTTTGTTTTCATTTGACAGTTTTAACTATAGTGAAGAATTGATATGTCCATATAACACATCAAATGTTACCAAAACAAGACTAAGTGATTTATTTCCACTGAACATCCATAAAGCCCCATTATTCTCTACCAAACCATACACACAAAAATGTAAAACCTTAGCCAAGCATACTGTTGAAAGATATAAAAAAATTGAAAAGAGAAATTAAAACATGAAGAACAAAAGAATATAACATGGTTTAGCCACTAGAGCTTACATCCACGACACACAAAACTCAAAGGGCTACATCTCTTTCATTACATTCTCTCTTGATTTTGTTTATGATAACCACCTCTATTTATAGGTGAATTGGGGAAGACTTGTAATAAATGAATTACACAGAAAGGCAAATATAAATATTGCAACTTCTTGTTGCCCAAGTATGGCAACATTAACATTCTGTCAATTAGTGATTTAAGGGCTTAAATCACTCCTATAATTATTCTCCTAACACATATATTATACTTTTTTAGGGTGTAACAATTTTTCGTTCTCTTTTACTTCTTGTTGTTAAGCAGAGGCTAAATTATTCCAAAATATCTCAATTATAAAGCAAAAGCAGCATGCAAATGAGAAGCTTTAAAAAGTAATTTTAGTAGTATTTTTATTATGTTATAAGCTTACTTGCTTTAGCAGTGTTTCTTCTGTTAAATATGGAGACCACTGCAACAGAATCGACAGGTTAGATGAAAAATTCTCTTTACCATGAGGAAGCATGGGCTTGAACTTTCTAGTTGATGCATTGAACTCATAATCCACCTGTATTAATTAAAAGGGGGTAAAAACTAAATTGAGTACCAAAAGTTGGGTTGATCAAAGAAAAACTAACAGCCCAATCATTATAATTTGAGCGATATTTAAATCAAATTTTAGAAAATTCTGTATGCAAGAAAACAAAGTTGTAATACTATTTTAAGGATTTTGTCTAAACTCTAAAGTAATGAACCTGGACACAGAGCTAGATCCTAATCAGGATAAGGGAAAGATCCCCATTGGCTGGCTGAATTTTCAGTTTCTCAAACAGCCAAAATGAACAGTCACAAGACTCCTGACCAGGTAATAAACTAAGCCAAAGCCTCAATTTATGATTGCATGCGCTTTTATCAAATTTGCCATTATCCAATGTGGTTTTCTGGCATCAGCAAGTATGCCAGATGTGTATCAACCATCTACAGTAACATGTACACCTAACAACAGTTAACATGGATACCTGCATCTAGAATTTGCCTAAAGAATAGACGATAAAAGATTAGAAAATTTTCATAAGTCCTATTTTTTCCTTCTAATGTACAAAGTCCTGTCAACAATATACCATTATTTCCTACTTTTTGATAAATGTTTCCGAATTAGTTCTAAATGTCTCAAACTTCCAACTTTACATGGACTTTATACTTTGTAATTATATATTTCATTCTATTCTCTAAAATAGTAATATTATTTTTTATTTAAAAGCTTTTGAATAGTTAAAATTTATAAATTGACAAAAAAAAAAAAAAATTCAATTCCGAAGAAAATGTTAAGCGTGTTTCAATGGTTAAAAAGAACACTTTACAAAACAAATCCATTTTTGCACAAAAGTTATAATTGCAAAATTTAGAGCTTTAAAACCTGTAGAATGAGAAGGTATAAATGGAAGACTGAGAGCTTTAAAACTTGTATGGAAAAGAAATTAAAAAATAGGACTTAATGTATCTATTGAAACTTTATAACACTGACTGGTAATTTCCCCGGAAAGAATTCAAAATTAAAGGTACCAAGATGTCCAACTCACCATTGGTACAACTATTTTGCCATGGCCTGTTTGTCTCAAAAAGGTATAAGAGAGGAGTCCGATACTTTGACTTAGCATCCTAATCATGAACACAAAACTGATGTAAATAAGAGCACATAGAGTCAAAATACATACCTATACTGAATTGGTTGAGGAAACATCATGTTTCAAGATGAATGCCGGAGCAGGGTAGTAAAGTACTTCCATTTCAATTAATAATTACACTTTGGAATATACATATGCTTAGGGAAACCAAAATTCAGATATATATAAATAAAGATATATATATATATATATATGACCACCCATAAAAATTACATATAATAAACCCTCAACGCTCATAAGTTACAACCCAACACAAGGTATGTTATATATGCTTCCAAGAAAAATGGGAATGTAATAAACTATCACCATATTCACAAATGCCTAGAGGTCCAATTTGAAGATTTAATACCAAATTTCATTTTCTGTCAATATAATATAGTGTCACCAGCTGTCCTTTGATAACTGAATTAATTAGGGGAACTGGGCAAACAAAGATAAAGTGCATAAATTGATAATCCAGGAATTTCACATATAGATAAAAAAAAGTTCCCATGGGGTCAAACCTCTTCTTTGAGTGACATGTAAAGACGATAACATCTGCTCCAAGTCTCATAGAACTTGTCTTGAACCCATTTCCATCTGAAAAGCTACAGTCAACCAATTAGTATGAGAAGAAAGGAAATGAGGGAAAAGGTGAAAATGGCCAGAATAATATCCATACACTGTCCGATGGTGGATATCAAGTTCTTGTCTGAAAATCCAAAGCTCATACAACGCCTTAGCGCTTCTGGATCCATTCCACCACCATCATCTTTGTTTTAAAGCAGAAGGTTTCAGGTAAACAGAAGTCAAAATGAGTAATTGTATCCTAATCATTTTGCGATGAGCAAACATAATAGAAAACATTTTCCAGTTTAACCTCAACAACTGATTTCAATAGTCAAACAAGATTCGAATACATAACTACCTTGAATAAGCAAAGCTGGACTCCCATCCCGTGGGTTGGTAATCTCGTCTATAACAACAAAAGTAGCCCCATTTGGTATCTATTACAATGGCAAACATGAATGAATAGTTTTAAAATATGCATAGCAAGAATAAAATCACAAACATAGACCACCAATATATAATAATATCATCAATAAAGAAACATAAGGTGGTGCCTCTCCCCCACCCCACAAAACATGTGCATGTGTGTTTGCAATTATCCAATGGTGCAAGTCCAAAAGGACATCTTAAATTGAAAGGTTTTAAAAAAATTCTCGTGTTCTAGATAAAATCACTTTTTTATATTTGTAGAAAGAATATACAATAGTATCTACTGCATTGTATATTCTTCTAGCTAATGGCTTCTTTTGACATGTTCAAAATATAAAAAAATTAACAAAAATAGGACAACGAAAATAAATAAGAATTCACCTCATCAACTGCATTGTCAAGCAACTCTGCTATAGCTGCAATTGAGAAGCAATAAAAACAGTGATACAGAAGATTGGATTAAATTTCAGATATAAAATGAAGAAGCCACACCATTTTGTTACATAAAAACTAGAATATAACCAAATGAAATAGATACAGGAAATATACCTCCAAAGGCCCATTTATGTGATGTGGCATTTGAGTGGAGGAACATAGGGTGAACGCTTAAACGATTCTTCCCATCTGATATCAAATTGTGAAATAAACTTCTTAATACATCTACTTTAGTATTAGAGTGCAGACATTTATAATTCGTAATACATCTACTTTAGTTGCTTTATCACACTTTCCAGTACAAATCCTTGTATAGTGTACCTATTCTTTTTCTCACTGTCACTTTTGAAGCTCAATTACATTAGCTTCTTGGTAAAACTCCAATAAACACATTGGATCCATCTTGACCATCCAAATGGAAGCTCAAACTGAAAAATTAAGTACATGACATCACATGCTTAAAGACAAAACACATAGACCACCCACAAATTCAGACTGCCTATATTGACCCATGTGGAATGCAACTAAACTATTGACATGTTACACGAAAAGGAAACACACACGAAAGAACGTATCCTGGTATGAAATTCGACAGCTTCATACTTTGTATTGGAGCTTTAAAACCCTGTTCTATCTCATAGTTCCCAGCTTTCCAGAACTGGCGACAAATTGGAGGCAGACACCGAGAGGGTAAAGATAAAGGGCTCGATTCATCAGCTGGGGCACACGCTCGATCTAAAACACTGGAGTCACTTTCACTTGTGCTCAAAGAATTTGAACTTCTAATCTCCTCAAATATTTTTCGCTCTGACTGCTTTTTGTATTTCCGACGAACCTTCTTGGTTTCAGTTTCATGTGTTCCAAGATCAAAATCTGGTCCCCTTTTACAATCCTTCCCACCTGACTCCACAATCTCATCATCACTACATAAATCTATGAAGTCTACAGTGCTCATCTTGGGCACTGCAAAAGAAATAAAATAAGCAAAAGATTAGAGGATACGATATAGACAGTAAGAAAATGAATCCATGAAAAGAACACTGCTGTGAATCACGAAGCAAAACTAGTTGAACAGGTTCAAATGCTCCCATAAGTTAAAATGAACATAAGATCTTCTACAGGAGCTATATATCAAAAGGTTGCACATGAAATCTCTATCAATCAAAGAACATGTACATCTACTTTCACCAGACGGCTTTTCAACCATCTGAAACCAACGTAACTAGAAAAGATCACTGTTTTTTATTTTTTAAAAAGGTTAAGCAAACACACACACCCATTAGTGCTTTACCATTAGCAATATCAAGATTTAAAGTGTTTTCCCAATTTCTCTAGATTTCACGTGTTTTCCCAACACAAATCAAAAGAGATGCCAGCAATTACCAATGGCGAAATAGAAATTCACATCCTTCATATCCAACTAAGGGCTTTCTCCAATGGGTAGCAGACAAAAGCATAGTAAGGGCCTAACAGTATGGGCCATTAAACCAGAACTTCCAAATTGGCTCCACCAACCATCACAAAATGCATACATAAGAAGGTAATCTAGGTTAAACTATTAAAATAGAAGCTGTTTGTGAAAATTCCTAAAAGAACTTCCAAATTAGCTCAACCAACAAAAACAAAATGCATAAATAAGAAGGTAATGTACTTATACCCAGCTAGTTATTGAAACTTTGAAGTCCAAAAGTGATCAGTTTCTAACATGCAAACTAAGACCACTCTAGACACTTCAAATTCAATTCACATACACACACAGAAACACACACACATAGCAATGCCCCATACGAGACAGCTGAAAATAGACAAAACAGCTGAGCATGGAGATCCCAAAACTAGAGTTTCCATCAATCCAAATGAAAACCATTGTACTCATAAAAACTTGCACAAATCTATGCAAATAATTAAATCAACAAAAAAATAATAATTAAAAATTACTGCATATTAAAAAAATTAGAAAGGTCATCGACTTTTAGAAGAAGGAAGATCTTGTCACCTCAAATCCAGAAACCCTGCTCAACTTTTGGAGGGCAAAACAGTAGGCTCTGGTACCGTAGCGTATGAAGAAGAAAATGAAAAGTAAATTAAGAGCCCAAACACATAAAAAAAAAAAAAAACCAATATTTACGAGCCAAAAGATAAAATTGATTTGAAAAATGATTTGGAGTCCGGTTCTTCCAAGAATAACCGTTTGTGGGCCAGGCCTCATAAATCTTTTTAGACCTGTAGTAGTAGTATTTTTGGTTCATTATTAATGAAGTACTCAATATATATGTCATTTGAAATATATATATATATATATATATATATATATATTAATGGATTTTGACTTATTTCAGCAATTGATTTAAATTCTACTTGTTTAATGTTACCATTGAAATTTAAATAAATAAATAAATCAAATGTAAATTGTGGAAGGATAGGGCAATGAAACTTAAAATATTCAGTGATAAAATGAAGCAATAGGGTGTAAAGATATTATGGCTATTTTTTTATTTTTTTTATCATGTTATTGTAATAGGGTGTACTGATATTTACACACCGATCCCATGTCAAATTTTGATATTATCTTTACTAAATTGCTACAAAACAAAACACGTTTCATAAATTTTGGTAATATCTTTTACTAAATTGCTAAAAAAACAAAGCACGTTTTGAAAGTAAAATGTCTACTTGTGCCCAGAATGTTGAAAACGTGATGTAGGTCTAGTTCCTTAATTATAGGCTTTTTGGATTTCCAAAAAATAGAAGGAAAATGATAAAGTGCAAATTTTTTAACAGTAAGGGTCCATAAAATATTTTTTTGTATTTTCTAGTGTTTGATATTGATAGGCTATTTATAGGCTCCAAATGAAGCTTCATTGTATCTGTAAGACATTTGTAATCTTTCTCTCCATGCCAAGGGTGTCATCATGGATGAATTAATCCATTGTGGACCCCACACAAATATAGATATATATATAACATTTGAAAAATATTTTTTGTATTTTTTAGTGTTTGGTATTTTCAAATTCAAAGAGAAAAATAATTTCCCAAAACTTAAGTAAAACAACTTATCAATTAGTTCTCCAAAAGTCATTTTCTGGACTTACCAATTTCACTCTAATCTCCTCAACAAAGCATATGGCATAAAAAAACGTCAATCAAGTACATAGAAGAGTTATATACGGGCCAAAAAAAAAATTTAGAGAAAAAAAGAAAATGACTCTTTTACATGTGTTATAGTGACCAAATACAAAAAATTGTTAAGAGAAGAGCCAATAAAGCACGAGGCAAATCTCTTCTTTAACAACAATTATACACTTTTCTATTTTTGGTTTCTTCAATTTGTCTTTATTATTATTATTATTATTATTATTTGTAATCATTATTGGCTTAGTGATTAACTTGTAGTATTACTTTCTAAAACCTTAAAAAATAATTCGTAAAGTGGAGAGAAAATTTTTTTTCACTCATTGCATTCGATGATAGAGAGGTTTGTTTCGATTTCTTTATATTTTTTCAAAAATCAATTGATTATTTTTTTATATTTCTTGTCAAATAATTATTATTGTTATAAAAATAATTGAACCAAATCGATAGTAAGAGAAAAATTAAATAATCAATGACTCAAATAAGAATTATAATTTTAGTTAAAAAATTGTTTGGAAGACGGACACCAAAAATATTTTCTGTGAACATGAAAAAATGTTACATAGAAAATATATTTCGCTCAAACAAACGGAGACTAAAAAAAAAACAAAAACTTGAATGGGCTTAACTGGTTGATGGTTCTTTGAATACTGAAAAAAAAAAAAAAAAAAAAAAAGTGTGTGAAAATAACATGATCAATCAAAGAATCAGATGGTGCTTTTTAAGGAGGCTGTTAAAACTTGAAATTTGAAAGCTGGACTCAACTTTTTTAAGTCCAATAAAGTCCTAATCAATGAACTTTAGTATATCACAAAATTCCAAGGAAAGATACCAAATCAAAATATGAAAATTTTAGCTCTAAGTCGACGTTCATTTCATATTTTCGGCACATGGAACTAATTCAAAGTCTAATGATTTTGATCCACCACTTTCATGCCAAATAAAATACTTGGATAACTCAATTCCATAACTTGCATGTGACGAAACTATTCCATAAGAATTTTGATAATTTTAGCTGTCACGTCCCCAAATTGAAGCCCTCATCCCATAAATTAGCCGAATTTCACACCGGAAAACCATTGCTTGGACATGGGTTACAGATGCAGTTTTCCAAATTTCATCTACATTCTACCAAACACATATATACATATATATCTACCGTTCGACATTCTTTCAATCTTATTATACTAAAGAATGTGCTTGAGTGATCTCATGTTGTGCATGCGCGTGTATAGATCGGTATGTGTATGTAAATATAATGTAATTTTTTTGAACAGTTTTAGATTTGCAATTCCGATCAACAAGAATCATATCAAGTATGTATTACTATTATTAACTAGAAGTTTTAATAGACAAGTTACAATCATATATGACAACATAAAGGGGAATATCAACTTGCATATTTATGTTCACACACACACACATATATATGCATGATATACCTAGTCTCATGCTTGATTCTATACCTACCACATAAAATATAATAAAAATTAGATATAAGGTACAGTCAACCTCAGGGCGGCTCAATCTAATTTGAGCCTTAGGCAAAAAAATAAAAAGTGGCCTTTTTAACAATTTAATTTGCGTTAGGCGAAAAAAAAAAGTAGCCTTTTTAATAATATAAATAAAATTAGTCATAATTCAAAAACAAAATATACAAATATATATACACCCAAATTTATAATAACAAAAGTTAATAAAATTAAAAAATAATTAAAGAAAAAGAACCATTTAACCTGATTTAAAAAACCCAAATCCAATACTTCTACAAATTTTCAATAAAATAAAAATGTGTTTATAATAACTGTAAACTTGTAATAAGAGTGAGAGGAGGAGACTTATCCAAAAGAAAAACATAAAACATAATAAAAAATAAAATAAATAATGAAAAAATTTCGTCATTTTTCCAAACAACATTAAATAGATATTTAATATTTTACTGTTGGTGTATCTTACCCAAAATGTTTTTAGTGCTGCTGTAAAAAATATGAATGAGAGAGAAAGAAAGAGGGAAAAAAAAAATTTAATGATACAAATTTTTAGGGCCTAAAATTAAATTTCTATATTGGTTTTATTGTAAAAAGTGAATGAGAATAGAAAAAAGAGAGAAAAAAAGTCATATAAGGAAGTAAATCTTTGGAGGGTAATATTAAATTTATGTATCAATTAGAGTTCAACATAAAGAGGGAGGAGAGAGAAAAGAGAAAAAAGAAGAAGTTAAATGAGAATATAAATATTTGAGACCTAATATAAAATCGAAATGAATAAGGAGAGATAAAAAAGATAAAAAATAAATTATTTTAGAATATAAATATTTGAAACCTAATATAAAATCGAAACGAATGGTGAATAAATAACAAAATTATTTTAAGATATAAATATTTGAGATCTAATATAATTTTTTTATATTTATTAGAGTTTAATAATATTAAAAAATAATTATAGTAGAACTTAATATAAATTTTTTTTAAAATTTTTGAACTTTTCTATTGGCTGGAGCCATACGCGATCGCCTAAGCTGCCTAAGGATGGAGCCGGCCCTGGTCTACTTGCCTTGGAATGCCGCCCTCCTCGTCCTCCTGATCTTTTCTTTTCTTTTTTTTTTTTCTTTTCTTTTACACGTTATAACATACGTAGTACTGTATATATTTGTAGTGGTGGATTAGTCAAGGTCAACGACTCTCACGTGACAACCATCTCCCCATGCATAATGACACATGGCATTCTAGGAGCATATGTGACAAGTGTCTCTTCATAAATATATACTTCTTATTTATTTCATTCAACCCCTTCAATTCTCAAAATTTACAGATTTTTTCCTATATCAACTTAAATCTTTACATTTAAATTCTTTTACCAACTAAATAGCTTAATTACATTAACAATTGAAACAACAAATTTTCAACCATTGAAACCTACTCTTCTTTGGACTCCTTTTCCTTCTTTCTAAGAGATACTCTACTTTGTTTTCCCCCCTCTGGCCATGCACCTTTCTTCCTTCTTTTCTTTTCACGTATAATAAAATAATTAAAAGAGATTTCAAAAAAATTAAATCTAAAAGAAAACAGTGTTTATTGTAGTTCATTAGTAAGACAAAAATAAGATTACAGAATAAATTTTAATGTAATCAACTAACAAATAATCAAACGTAACATGCACAACAATTTTCACCGAAAACACACGGATATTGGCATCCAAATATCCTACCATTGACACCCGAAGACTTTCCCCAAAGAGGACCGCAATCACCGGATTGTAAATCGGTAACAGAAACCGAGTAAGATGCTGCAATGGTTCACATTGTGATCCATATGCTTTTCCCAAATGTATCAGAATCTCAATGAATGAAATACTACAATCTTTATTATAAGCTAAATTGTTCGTCGTTCATGTATAAGTCTTAATACCTGCTTGTGGTTCGAGTGTCAGCCAAATAATGGAATGTAAAAATGGTTTTATTTCAAGTTTTCCATACCTAAGAATCTTAAAACCCTAGAGTTAGGTTAAGACTTGAGAGTGAGAAAAGTCGGAAATATTAGCCTTTATAAAAGTGGAACTGTGTCCCAAACATTAATGTAATTTACAGTTCCTGTCATTTAGAGGTCAGAAAGCTAACTACATTCTTTGACATGCTACAACCTGCTTTACCATCTACTTCAACCAAAAACACTAAGGAGGCTGCGAACTATACCTCGGGTTATGAACAACAGCCGAGAAAATTTAAACAAATCATCCGCCTACATTTTTCTCCGTCTTGATTGTGTCCGTCGATTCTAATTCAGCCAGTATATAGCCTTTTATACTCGAGCTGGGTATCTCCTAGTTCACTTCTAAGTTGTTGCACCTGCACCAAAGTTGAAGATTAATTTTTGACTAAAAAGCTACGAGTCATAGTTTTCCTCCCTAAGCAGGTCAGACTTTCAGAGTTGAATATGTTTATGTTTTCACAATTTGATTGACAAAGACCCACGCATTTTATAGAAGCAAGAACTTAGAGAAGGGGAGTGCCTAAGGACAAATATCTGAAAAGACCTGTTTCCCAAAGTTTTTAAAAACAGAAATGATTTACCTTTAGCTTAAG